GCACTTCATTTCTCACAGATCCAAATAATCCCATAGAGGGAAGGCATAAACACTACGCAATTTAGATTGGTCTTAATTTTTAGTTGTTTTTTTTTTACTATCGTCCTCATTAGTTTCAACTCTGCCACATTTTCGACGGATTTATACGCCTACAAGTTTCAGTGCATGTAAGTGAACGAAGGACTGGGACTGACAGATGATTTTTTGGGTTCAGTGCGAAAGGAAGTGAACACGCCTTACCTTCAGTTCCCTATTCATGGTGTTGTATCGTGGAGCTGCTTGTATGTTACAGTACTTGCCACCAGATTGTGCTGACAAATCATCAGGACTTGTAGCTTTATATGGACGCAAAGGTGGAGGAGGGGGGGCTCTATACTGACCAGGATGATCACCTTGTCTTCAATCACAGTTCGACCCCCGACAATTGCCATGTACTATTCTCCTGCTTTCAGATATACTAGGTACAATTTTTTTTTTCTGTTATGCAGAAACTCTGTAAACATCGGGGCGTCAACTTGGCCAGGCTTCCGGAATACAGCTCTTGTAAATAACTGGTGTGGCCTCGAAATGCGATGAATGTCATAGGTCATCTTAACCACAGAAATGAAAGGATGTGGCTGCTTGTCTGCTTCGAATTTACTTCGTAATTGACGATCCAACAGACACAATCACCGCCCTTATGATAAAAATCTTGGTATCGAATTATCCTAAAGTACGTCTTAGTGTATCGTTCTTATAATGGGTTTGAAATTCGCCCAATTGGACTGATTAATCGTGAATGATAAACGTATATAAAAAAAATGAATTTCGAAAGTAACAGAATTAAATTTGGGTACAGAGCCTTCACTCATACCATCTATTACGGTTGCACCGATACGACACAGTATTTATACAGCCAGGACTCGGTCGTCTTTTATACTGCCATTAAGTACATTTTCTGGAAATTGGTACTGTAACATAACCAGACAGTCTGTTGTTAAGCAGGGAAAAAGTCTGCCAAGTAGTCAACAAGTTTTTTTTTTCCCATTAGCGATTCAGTTGCCACTACTGGCAATGCCAGTTTCGTAACGAAGGTATGCATTAGTCTATTTCTGCATCCGGATTGTTTCATGTCATGATGCCCCGCCCTGCCGCGGTATCCCCACCCGAACCCACGCCACCACGAGGAGTCCACATGGTTGTGATATGAAGGAGTTTTAATAGTCTCATGTTTTGAATTCAGGGACAGCCAAAGCCTACACCGTTCCGGAATTATCATAATTACAGAACTATAATACTGTCAACAAATTCTTGTCTCATGGTTGACCAAATATTCTGACAGTCAAGCAGCTTCTATTCTGAATTCAATCACATCATTAATACAGTTTTTGTTTGTACAACGACGTTCTATCAAGTGTATAGGTTATAAAGGAAGAAGAACTGCAGTTAGGACGCTACTTCTGAGTTGGAAATTGAAACAATACTGTCTAATATTCAAACTCGACGATTTACGTAACCTAATGTATACTCGTTTATGATATATGGCATGTCGGATGCGCGCATTACGTAATTAACTTAACATTTATAGCTATAAGTAATGATGGACCATAAACACACATAGAAATTATATCAAACACTTTTTCTTATGTTAAAGAGAATAGCTCAGTGGCTCCGAAGAACGACGAGATTATGACTGAAAACTGTTTGTGGACATGTATTGACCATAGTTGTCAGTCCTACACCGAACTGGTATGCCATCTGGTAAATGTAGTGTCAACTAGGAAGTATACCCATGAATCCTCAGTAGTAGTTTCCTTGTCATGGAGGTAGAAGCCATGCTGAAGTTAGGCAAGAGAATGTACGCCCACTTGATGTGGATTTTTTTTTGTTAGAGCTTACTGAGTAAGTAAGTAGTAACTTTCGCGTTGGTTAAAATACATTTTATTATTACGTACATTAATGGATCTATGAATGAAACTTCTAGGTTAGAAGTGAACGAAAGTTTATAATAACTGAAGCTTTCTTATCCTTTATGCACATAATTTTGGGTCACTGCAAACAGTTCTCTTCAGGAATACTTTATTTTAAAAGTTTATCTGTCCCACTTCATCAGAGAAGAATGAGGTGGGTGGGGCATGTAGCACGCAAGGATGGGACAAGACGTGTGTACCAGGTGTTGATTGGGAAGGCTGAAGGGAAGAGACCTAGATGGTAGAATAATGTCAGGTGGGATTTGTGGGAGATAGTTTAAGGAGACTGGATGGTCCAGTAGAGGGCTTTGGTTAATTCGGTGATGAACCTTCGGGTTCGGTAAGCCATCTAGTTAGTTATCTGTCCCAATCCCCCATAAATGTGCATTCTGCAAATGCACATATCTCATTCCAGACAGCTGCATTAGATGCAGTTGCTACCAATGAATACATGTAGTTTCAAGACAGCAATCTTCAGACTCACCCATGTGAAAACCTTAAATCCTACATAGCATAACATTGAACAATAATGCTTTAAAATCATAAACTGCCTTTTGTTTCACCCACAGAGTGAAAGATGAAGTTTTACAGTAAAATTATAATTTTATGTGTGGTAACCTTGTTGTTACAAATATGTAGATAAAATAAATGAAATGGTAAGTTGACAAAGAACATTGTAATTGGTCAGGTGTATTGGTTTTTTGGACTTTATCCATTGTCCAGTATTAAAATGCACATTTCAAAAATGGATCCTGTTATCAAAATATGTGCATTTTAGCCTTGGACAATGGACAAAGTCCAAAAGCCCAATAAACCCAACAGTATTACACCATCATCAGAATCCAACATTATAATTAGATTACTCTTATTCACTTTTTTGATTTGGGAGAAGGTGGCCCTCCCTACATATAATGTGCATGTTACTCTTAGATATAATAAAGGTCTGAAATATACACTGGATGTAGCTGAAAGTAAAACTACTTATGTTTCATTATATATATTTATTTGGTTATTATACATGTAAAACTACATCACCTTAAAACTTTTAAAACAGTACGAATATTAAAATAGTTGTATAATACATTAAAATAAATGTGAATACCTAAATCATAGATTGGTACATCCTGTGATGCGCTACTTAATTTATGTTTAAAAACAAAATAAAGCTGAACATATACTGATTATGTGGTTAGACAATGAGAGCTGAATAGATGCACTTTGTACTTCAAAAAAATACACATAGCAAATATTTTTCATTCTTCATAAAAAGAATATTAACCCACTGTTAACTAATATCAAGGTAAAGTTGTACTAAGTGAGGAAATTGTGTTAATACTAGCTTTGAAAAGACCTACAATTTAAGAGTAAAGCAGAACATTGCTTTAAATTTACAGGGGTTTATGCAAACCAGGAAAGAATTCACTACTGATTTTGACACATCAATACATACTGATTACGACTTTATATTGCAACACAATGGCATATACCTGTCAGTAGACCCAACAAGTACTCTAACCTAACCTACTGGTCACTGTATTATAGGGATTTGTATAAAGGCAGCAGTAACCAGCTAAAGTGTGTTTGCTGTGAAGCATTAAGATCAGTCTCATTCCATAGTTATCTCCAGCTAAGGCCATGCCATGGTTCAGTCGGTTAGTTGCCAACTTCTGTCTGCAGAGGCCAGGGTTTGCATCCAGAGTAGTCCTTGTGCAATATGTGGTAGACAGAATGGCACTGGAATGGGTTTTTCTGAAAGTCCTTCAGTTTTCCCCTGTCATAATCCCACTCCATATTCACTCGTGTATTATCTGGGAGCTGGCAACGGACCCATTAGCAGCCAAGTTCCATAGAGACATAGTCTCTGCTATTGACAATAATAATAACAACGGGTTTCCCCAAAACATAAGTAAAATGTTCTGCCTGAAACATGTACATGGAAAAGAACTATTTTATAATGATATCATTCTCAATTCTTATTTTGTCTAATATTTTAATTCATTTAAGAAAATACTTTCTGAACTGCATTTCTCTGTGGTTATACTTTTCCATGATGACCTAAATCATTATTTGATTCTTCTCATTTTTGTTTAATGTGAATCCAATACTATATACACATAATTTCTCTTTATGGCACACACTGTCATTTACCTTTCATATGAGTATCTGTAATGAAACAAGTTATAGATTTTATTGCATAATGCAACTGAACAACAAATTATATTGTAATATAACAATCTAGTTCAATATATGAATGAGATCTTGGGCTATTTATATACACTGGCTATAAGAATACTAAAATGGACTAGAACACTGTTCCTGCTATCAATTAATAAAATTCCCAATACAGCCACCAAAGACACCTATAAAACACTACAAAAACACCTACTAACTTTCCAGTAGTGGCGAAAAAATAGTAAAAAAAAGGCACAGATTATCTACAGCATCATGATAATTATGATGTTTTGGCATGTACGAAGCGGATAAGGAAATCCACTCATGTTTGGTCCATGGCCATTAAAGCATCCAACAAAGTTGGACACCCATCCACCTTAATACCACGTCTCTTGAGATCCTCAAGCCTGGCTTCTAAGAGTCGTTTGTCTCTTCCAAGTGACCACCACAGTCGGACACAGAGCTGTAAAAGAGGCACATAAAACTGAAGAAGGTCAGCATCACTGACTGCTTCATATCGCCTAAGAGCAAGATCTGCAAAACGCTCTGCTGATGTAGTGGTAGGATCAGCGTTGCAGGAAGCAACTAGGCGACACAATGTCAACATAACAACTGGATGCCTATCTGTGTAAAGTTTATTCAGAAGTCTGAAGGAGTTCTCCAACAATGGTATAGCCTGGTCATAACGTTGAGCCACCATCCACTGACGTGCTTCACGCTGTTCACGACCTTGAAGAAATGATGTTAAACATGATGATTCTCGCAACTTTTCTTCAGTAATTATGTGCTCCAACAGAGCCTCAAAACCAGCACTGCGCTCAGATATCACACCAGGAGCAAAATTACCTAACAACACCTTTTTAGGGAAGGTGAGATGTGTCATAAGTGATGGAAATTCATGTCGAAGTGATTCATACAGTTCAAGAAAATCAGAATAACGACGTTCAATCACAGCAGGATTTGGATCAGGTTGAATTCCATCCTTCCTTACCATTACAGTGTATGCCTAGAAGTGAATCATACTGACAATTAAATACACATAAAGAACACTAGGTCTAAACATAAAACATGAACCACATTTCATTCAGAAAACTAACCACATGCTTCTTCTCATTGTTCTGATCAACAGTTCGTGCTGACACCACTTCGAATTTCAGAGCAGGCCTCGTCAAAATTTCACCATTTGTTACATCAGTTGTGCCAGCAGAGTCTTCACCAATGGTGACTCTTGGTACTTTTGCCCATGATCCTAAAATGTTTCAATTATATTATACATATGAAGTTATGGTTTTTATCTCAGTATGATTTCTGTAATACATAGTATGAAAACAGGACTTTATACTGCACAGCAGATGAATGCGACAAATTTTGTTTGATGCTGTTAAAGAATATTATCCTAAAGACAATACAACATGGATGAAAGTGCACAGTTCTATTCAACCTGACATGACCAATGATGGGATGCAAGGAGGAAAAAGACAATCACCCTTGTACCCTTAGTGCCAATGCAGATGGGAGTAATAAGTTTAACTGAGATAGTAAAATCTACAAATCCTCGATGTTTTAAGAATTTAAACTCATCGATCTATGTCCATTATAGACATAATATGAAGGCCTGAATGACTACTGTAGAATTTGATGAGTGGATTAAAGACTTTAACAAAGACGAGATACATTGCAAAACGTTATAAATAAAAGTAAAATATATTTTTTTTCACTTTTTGACTTGCTGGTTTCAAAATCGGCGCAAAACGAGGGTTACCTCTGTGTGTGTGTGTGTGTGTGTGTGTGTGTGTGTGTGTGTGTGTGTGTGTGTGTGTGTGTGTGTGTGTGTGTGTGTGTGTGTGTGTGTGTGTGTGTGTGTGTGTGTGTGTGTGTGTGTGTGTGTGTGTGTTTCAAGTAGCAGCCAGCAAAGCTCAAATTGCTTGCTGACTGCCAACATCCAGAACGGATAGGCACTTTAAGAAGAAGACATCAGAAATGAGGGTAATTATGCATTGCTGCAAAGACAATGATAAAATATAATTTCACTTGTAAAATTTGCTATAACTTAAAAAATGTAGACTGAACACTTTCCCCAGATGTTTGCCTCAGCTATTACAGTGCATAAAAGGACTTTACTGATATGTGCACCAGCTTGGCTATGGACTCCATGGGCTTCATTAAAGCTGAGAGTTCCTTGTCCCAGGCGAGTGTCAGGTTCATCATCTAATGCAAGTTTTTCAAGTTCTTCATGCACACTTTTTTTCTCTTCATTATTACCTGTATAGTAAAAGAATGAGATACAAAAAATCTTATCAGTTATAAAAATCATTCAAATGGCTGACTGATTTTTAGGTTATAAAATTATACTACTTCAAATGCATGAGTTATACTGTGTGAAATGAGATAGAAAGACGAATCATGAGTAGCTTTAGATTTAAGAGTTGGTTGTGCCTATTTTACTATGCCCACATTTGCTTTTAGGGACTGAAGAAAACAATCAATATACTCGGTAATCTAGCTGGGGTTCGGATTGGGTACTTTTCAAATGTAAGTGTACACACAGTGTAAGCACTACAAACAGCTCAGTGGGATTATTTTGTGTGATAATGTGTGCCTGAGTGGAGAGGAAAAAAAAATGTTCAAAATAAATAAGAGCAAGTGGAGTATTTCTCATGACCACTAAATGAGAATATGTATGAATTATCACTTAAAACTATTAAACATTGCCTGTTACATGCTAGTGCCTTAAGTGTGATAAATATATGATGTGTTTTCAAATTGACAGTCAAATTTGTCTCTTGATTATTTTCACTATTCCATCCTATTTAGACTCCACTGGCAAACAGCTGCTGTGACTTCTCAGGTACTATGATTGCTCAACATGCACAGTTTTTTAATACAGTCAACAGACCCCGTAACAGGTGAGTGAATTTTTTACTCAATCGATCAACTATTCATCAGTTAAAAATCCAATCTCATTGTGTCATTCTGTGGCCAAGAAAGATTATGTTTTGTGATGATATACCTAATCTCATGATTAGATGAGGAAATGGACATAACATCAAATAAATTGACTATTAACAAAAAATATAACAGGAATCAAAATTTGGCCCACATATTATATTATGTCAAAGATATGGCTCTTAGGTTCAGTTTATACTGATTTATACTTTATTTATAGTGAATTGATATTCACAGGTTAATAGAAAAATTTACACAAAAATGGTCTGCTGCTTTTCTTACTGTTTAATATCAACCTGCACAGGTATCTGTCCCTAATTGACAAATAACTAACTCAATTTTAATTGTAATATAAGGATACTGTCTGAAAAATAGAAGCAACCAAACAGTTGAAGCTACCCCTGTGCTTCATAACCACAGGACATTTTTTTCGTAATGGACTTTTTAATGGCAACTCTGCAAAGAAGAAGAACCAACACATTTCGTTTTTGATAGAACTGGTTATCAGCATATTATAATTGATACCAAATTCATAATTATTTGCCTTTGAACAATGATACCAATAATTAATTTTTTGGTTTAAAGTTAATCCACCTGCACTGCGTAGTTACTGTCAAAAAATTATTCCAAACTTAGAAGCTAAACTTAAATAAAATTGATCCACCTGCACTGCTTAGTTACTGTCAAAAAATTATTCCGAACTTAGAAGCTAAACTTAAATAAAATTTTGTTATGATATTTACTTCACGCCACATGGAATATCTATAATGGTCTGTTCAAAAATGAGACTCTCCTCACTGGCAGTATATGGGAGACTTCATATGTAGGGATGGTCAATGGAAGGTGTAGCATTTCATCAAAACCACTACTTACTTGCCATTGTCTGAAGCAAGTTCTGTTCCTCTTTGTTCAATGCATGAATTTCTGAAAGGGAAATGGCTATTACTAAACAGTTAACACGGCCCCACATAGTGCTACTACTATTACTATTAATAGAACTCCCTCTGCTGCTGCTGATGTTACTATTACTACTAGTTACAAAAGGAACTTTCTCAGCATGACTTAAATATTCAAAAGCTAAACCTCTGTATAAAAAGGTGAAAAATATTGTATTTCCAACTACAGGCCAGTTCCATTATTGACATAATTTTCCAAAATATTTGAGAAAATAATGTGTTCAAGAGTAACTGATTTTTTAAACTCTAGTATCAGCAAGAAGAACAATCTGAACTTAGAAATTGTCTCACAACTAATAAAGCTTTGCAGAAATTAAAAGATGAAATCTTATGTGCCTTGACAATAAAATGTGTGACTATGGAATATTATGACTGAGCTGAAGCATTTGATTGTATATCATTACATATTAAGAGCAAAACTCTATTGTTATGGAATTCAAGGTAAAACTAGACAATGGTTTAAGGCAATGTCGTAGGTAAGCGATAAGAAGCGAGCTGCATAAGCAGCATGGGGTGTCATATGAAGCGGGGAATCGCTTGTTGTGTCCTACGTGAGAGACTGCAATAGAAACACACGGCCTTCCTGCGCATGCCCCTTCCGTGTACTGCACAGGCAGAGCTTTCTTGCGCATGTGCCTTACTGGTAAGCGCGGCGACCTGCGCGAAAATATCGAAATATTTGATCTTGGACTTCGGTCGCTTTCCTCTCCTGACTGATTCGCTGTAACCTAGGACAGCGCTACACAAACAGCCAATTTGATATTTCCGCTTCACCCACGCAACTCGCATTTAATCGTTCACGTAGGACACCGGGTAAGTCAAAACTAAATGGGAGAAAACATGAAGCAGAAATTAAATTAAAACATGGAGTACCTCAAGGTTCAATACTTGGTCCTCTTCTTTTCCTCAAATATCAATGATTTACCCCCAAATCATCATATCTTACCCAAAGCCTGTATTGATGACACTATTTTTGATCATCCTGATAGCAACTATTTTCAAAATTCCATCAATGATATCTTAGCTAGCCTGAACAAATGGTATAAAGTCTATAAACTCACATTAATATTTATCAAAACAAACAATGAAATTTGCTACTAACAAAACAAATATTGTAGGATTTGAGGTTTTCACAGCAGTAAGTCTGAAAATGGCTGTCTTCTGGGATGCTGAGCTGTGTAAGTTAAACTGGAAAAACCATATTATTCCCAAACCAAGTTCAGTATGCTTTGCCATGAGGACAGTCAATGTCATGTGAAGATATCTTTGGGAGAAATTCAATAGACAACAAAGGAGTATGTAACATCTAAAACAAAATCATTAAAATAATGGCAGGGAATAAAAGAAGAGTCTCCTGTAGAGAACTATGTAAGAGATTACTTCCCATTCTGAGTGAACTCTTACTGTTATTGTGGACAACACGCAGATGTTTCAATCAAATTCTGACATACGCAGTACAAACACAATATGACTTCCATATGCCAAATGTTCTAACCTCACTAGTTATCAGAAAGGAACTTACTATGTAAGGTTCAAATTATTCAGTACTTTTCCATGCAGCATTACAATTTTAAATCATTATAAGGAAGTTGTCAAGTCTGCATTGAAAGATTATCTTTTATCATGCTCTTATTTTGTGCAAGAATTCTCTTCAAATAAAAATGTATAAGTACATGTAACGAACCACTTTCACATATGTACATAAAGTCTGACAAGAAATTTAGAGAGCTACTTCCCCATACATCCATTTTAGCATAATTATATTTTTTTATATGGAAGGGCAGAACTAGGCCAAATGCTTCTCACTTAACCCCCAACTGTTTAAAGAAGAGTATTTCACAGAGAATTATTTAAGAAATTTAATATATTCTGTAAGTGAATTCTTACTCTCATTACTGCCTTGTTCCATATCCTTGGTTTGTATTATGAAGGATCAATGGAATGTAAGTAAACTTTAATAAGCTGTCACTGAAATCAGACTGTGCATAAGGTGACTAGCAACAGAAGGTATAACCTTTCTTACTTACCTAAACCTAATCAGATTACAAAAAGTGGGAATGAGACATCTGGGAATAGAAATATTATGAACTGGAAGCGACAAATATAAGTTTAAAGGGGGGAAAATATGGCTTTACCTTATGTTCATGCTTATATACAATTCTCACATCATAAATGACAACTAGCTGCTGAGATTTACAATAAATATATGATTTAACAAAACGTATACAAGTCTAACAATATAAAGAAACTGCATCAGGTTTAAAAATTCTTCTTCTCCTTATATGGCTCTTTGCATGACCATGGCCTATGAACAATTATCGGCCACTCATCTTCATACTATAACAAGGATGAAGGACGAAGTTAAAGTGTTCCTTCAAAACAATATGGATAATATCCAAGACAATTTTTATTCAATTGACTCTTCACCATCGTCAAGAAGTTTTAGATTTGATAAACTTCATTCAATTAACATATTCACATACATACCTTTTGGCATAGTTTAAATGGCACAACACATGGAAAGAACCTACCATTACAACAACCATCTCACCAATTACCAACCCCTCATTTGTATGAAAAATCACTAGTTAAAATTACAAATGAAAGTGACAACATATGGATAGTCATCTATTATTAAAAATATCACCAATCACTCACCATTCATTTTCGTAAGAATTAAATGTAATACAATTTATAAGCTACACAATAAACCAGTGTGCGCTGATATAATAAAGTATACAACTTAATAAACACTCGTATTGTACATGACTATAATGTTATTGTTTGCTGTGTAGGTTTACCAAAGCTGTTGGTAAAACTTCTTCTTAAAAACTGAATTTCCCGCAATTATGATGAGAATTCGGAATTTCCAGGGCGATTTATAAGACTGGTCGGTATTTGGTCTAACGTGTCCATATTTTGGAAAACTACACAACGGTTCTTGTTTTCTTCTGCAAATTCATTAACCCTTTCAGGCCCTTCCGCTATAATATACAATAACACTGGGTTTCGTATGATTCTCAATGAATATTTACTGGAACAAAATTAAATAGTCCATCTTTGTGTTTTTACTGAAGAAAGAACTAAATGAACTAGTACTCCCTCCTTCTGCTGTGAACTTGAATAATTGAACGCTACTTCTTGTAATGTATACTTTCAGAACAGCTGAACATTCGAATGCAGCACCACTCCTTATGTTGGTATTATGATTATTAATTCGTGGACAGTTGTGACCACAGATAAACCAAGGATTTTATAGATTTCATGCTAAAGTGGTGTACTTACTGTTTTAAGGACATACGGAGGATTTAAGTGATCGCAGACTGTAGGTGTTATATTATAATATGCCTCCCATTACTTGGTTAAGCGATCGTAGGCTATAGTAAATTCCAATAATGTCAAAACTGATTGGGCCATTTGTTCGTCGGAATTGTCTTCCTTACCATAAAGTTACAATATTTCAAGCTTTATGTACAGGTGCAAGTCACACGGTTAGCATGGTGAAGGAAAATAAATGTAACCCACTTTCATATTGTAGATTTTACTGTTCTGAGAAAAAAGACGCTTCAAAATTAACGAAGGTGAAATCTACGGAAGTTGGAATATCAAAAACATTCAAACAGGGTTAGTATGAATGAACAAATGTAGGAATGAATGGTTGTGGTGTGGGCGCCTACGTTGATGTTTTATACATCTCCAGTAGTAGCCCAGTTTGTACGGCGAAATACAATATTTTACATATCAAGAATTCATGATGGTTTCAAAAAGAGCACCAACATTGTCAGTAAGTAGAAGCCTTATATAAAGAACTTCCCACACTTCATTAGTGTTTCTTTAGTAGGTTGGATTGGTTTCATTGGACAGCACCTGAAGTGAACCAGGTTTGCAGTTTTATAATTGAAGGATGAGTCCTTGTGACTTTATGCAGACAGCTAAGGCAAATATCATGCAGTAGCTTAAGATGTTTAGGAATTTTGTTGGTCTGATTTCGTGAGCTATATTTTTCAGTATGTTGCTTGTCAGTAGACTGATGTATATGGGAGGATGCTTTCTTCATGTTTTCCAACCAAAATTGGAATTATGCTCTTTACTTCACTCTTTGTTTCTTCCAACCTCTTAGGTCCAAATATTTTCTCCAGTGCCTTGTTCTCGGACACCATCCATAATCTTATGTGGAAATTCAACTAAGAGTATTAAGTTTTCCTATCACAAAAGAAAGTAATACGAAGTATGAAGATTTCTGTCTTCTGGGTTGTTGCGCTGTGTAGACTGGTCGATGTTAACCAACGTTTCAGAGGTCATACTGCCTCTGTCATCGCCCTGATGACGGAGGCAGTATGGATTGTAAAGATATAGCAAATGTAGTTTAAGATCACCAAATAACTTGGCAGAAAATTATTTTATGTTTTGATTGAAAGTTATGTGTATTATACTGAGTCTTTGTCAGGCAGGTGTAATTTTTCAGATACAGTGATACTTCAGTTTTAAGCAGTTTAAATGTAAAACTTTCTTACTTTAATTGAAATAAAATATACTTTACTTTTTGAAATAAGAATATGACTTTCCATTTCTCTCTAGTGAAGGAAACAACAAAGACAGCTTCTTATTTAGGAGTTATTCTTGCTGGTGTTGGAGTGACTGCAGTGATATTCTATCAAGTTTTTCAAGAGCTGTTTTCCAACAAAAGTTCAAACAGTGTGTATACAACATCTCTTAAAAAGTGTTGTAAAGACCCAAGAGTAATAGATTCACTTGGTGAACCTATAAAAGGTTTTGGAGAAGAAACACGGAGAGGTAGAAGGCGGCATGTTAGGTATGTACGTCAAAACATAGGCTTGCCGATACATTTGAATGTGCATAATGGTTCCTCCTTATAGTGAGGAGCTTTGGGATTCTGATTGGGCATTTGGTGGCATTGTTCTGCGCTTTAACCATGTATTTGTTTAAAGTGTTCAAAGTAAATGCCAGGATATTACTTTCAGCAGAGCTTATGTTAAGTGATTGGTGCTTGGAACTGTTTAAAATAAGTTTTAGTTTGAATTCAGTGGTGTAAGCGATAAATAACCTTAGTTCACAAAACCTTGAGAAGCTGATAGCCACTTAGTTAGTCAAGAAATTCCCTGCATTCTGTGGGGTCTGAAGGCTCATTACTGTGTTCACAGTAGCCCTCCACAATAGTGGCAGTGCACCAGTCCGTATCCCAAGGCAAATTAAAATTAATCCAGCCCACACCCTTCCACCCAATTTCATTTTGATACATTTTATAAAAAAAAAATAAGCTCAGGTTGTTACAGTGCATATACAGTGTGCAGTAAAATTACTATGAATGACAAATTGATTTTACAGGAACATTTCTGTTTTTCCTGTAACAGCATAATTTGCATGCAAGAATGTTAAAAGCTTATAAAGATTAAATTGTTATATTTTTACAAAAATTACAACCAAATATTAAGAGACTGCAAAATTTATTTTCAGAGAGATGCTTTGATTTACATTGACATTGTTTAAACAGTAATTAGGAATGCTTCACACCATGTCATCAGTAATACATAAATGTAAATAGAATTATGTGATTTTGGGCCTCCTGCACTGTCTTCTACCATACATTTCACATCTCACAATTAGAATGTCTTGTAGAATACTCTTGTTTCATGCTGTATCTGAATGGCGATGTAATAAATCCCATATTTAAGTCTTTCACTCAGACTTGTGTAGGTGGGACTTTGAGAGCAACCTAGGCTAGTTATGCAATTCATAGTGTCTCTTTTTTGATGCCCTAGTATTCCAAAATATTGATGTTCCCATTAAATCATAAATTGAAGACAGGTAGTATGTTAAAATAAAACTTTTAGATTTGAGGTAGTAAATTCCTTCAAAATACTTGCAATTACCTATAACTCAGAGAAGACCAGTCAACTTCCTCACTGCCACGAGAACCACAAATTTGAGATAACAGGGAGGCAACACTGTGCGGAATTCGAAGACTGGATTTATTTCAACTAGGAAGATGGATATGTATAACTAACTAACTAACTAACTAGATGGCTTATGGAACCAGAAAGTTCATCACTGAATTAACCAAAGCCCTCCACCAGTCACTGTCCTGAGCCAACAAAATCCAGTTGCCTTCAACTCCTATCTCCCATAGATCCTGCTTGATATTATCCTTCCATCTACATCTAGTTCTCTCTAGCGGTCTCTTCCCTTCGGGCTTCCTGACCAATACCTGGTGCACACCTCTTGCTCCATCCATATGCACCACATGCCCCGCCCATCTTATTCTTTTTGACTTAATCACCCTGACAATGTTGGGGGAGGAGTACAAATTTTTAAGCTCATTATGCAGTTTTCTCAACACCCTATTCTCAAACACCTGCAATGTATGTTTCTCCCTCAGAGTGAGAGACAATGTTTTGCACCCATACAAAACAACAAGCAAAATTATTGTTTTGTATATTTTAATATTCTTGCATTAAGAAGGTACTGATTCAAATTTAATCTGTTATTGGAGAATTCTGAAGGTTTTCTGGCATTCAAAGTAAATGCCAGGATATTACTTTGGAACAGGCCTACATCTAAATCCAGTCCTTCTCACCATTTAAGGTCATCTGTGTATCTGATTTGATGTTACTTAACATCTGTAGTTAAAACAGCATTATTAAATAACTTTGGAGTTAGTCACAATTTGTGTATATTAGAAGCTAAGTAGCCCTTAATTCTCTGCGCAGAAGGAACAGTGTAATAAGATGGCTCTGTTCTGGGTTGTTGCACTGTGTAGTCTGGTAGAATAAGTTTACTGACTTTTCTAAGGTCCTTACTGCCTCCATCATAAGGGTGATAGGATGATGACTCATCACCCTGATGATGGCGGCAGCAAGGACCTCTGAAACGTTGGTAACCTTCTACCAGGCTTTTCGGTGCAACAACCCAGAAGACAGCCATCTTCAGATTCACTGTTGTGAAAACCTCAAATCCTACGTAACAGTGAATAGTTTTTCACATTGTAGTTTATTTTGTTTTACAGCCATCTGTTTTATGAACGTGATGGTATCAACTTCCTAAGAATGAAATATTATATTCAAGGGAGCCGAAAGAGGGGCACAGTGCACTTGGAAATGCGTGAGGTGAAGTTCTGTTATCTGTTTATTAAATGGAGCAGCTTTGCAAATTAGCTGCTTTTAGAGTCTATTAAGAAAACTGAACTGGTCTTGTTTGCCATGGCATGTGGTACCAACACCAGCTGGCCATGTTATGGCAGTACATATTATAGACTGTAATATGTATTGAACTAACATAACATGCTGTCTTTCCAGCAGAGTTTGTGCAAATTTTAAGTGTTCATCTTGTAACATGTCTAGTAGCTTGAGGGAGAGTGATATGTTGTAACACTTTGAGTATAGAAACCTGCAAACCTAGTTGCCATAGAGCTCAAAATGGTGAAGCAGTAGGTATTTTTCTGTTTTATATATTCCTGTTTAATTTATAGAGATAATTTGTTGTTTGTCATAATGCCCAACATGTCAGCTGTCTACTGACATGTATCAAATATAAAGAATATACTATAATCTTCTAAATTTGGCTCCCGCGCCGTAGCCGTGCGGTCTGAGGCATCATGCTTCGGACCGGCGATACGGAATGCGCGCTGGTTCGAGTCTCGGGGGAGAAGAAATTTTCTCATAAGCTTTTGACCAGTGTATGGGACCGGTGCCAACCCAGCATCATGAGGAAATTGGGGAGCTACGATGAGTAGCGTAATCCGGTGAGGAAAGCTAGCAATGGCTGGGGGTTCGTCATGCTGACCACACGTCACCCTATATCTGGTTGGATGATCGTTCACCTCTGCTTAGGCATGTGAACGTGAGGCCAGCAGTCAAGCTAGTCGGCTTTGGCTCTCTGGAGCTGTTACGCCACAGATTTAATTTAAATTTAATTTTAAATTTGGCATAGCACAAAAGCCAGTTCCTTGTACTCTCACTACTAGTGTAAGAATCACAGAAGCAAGGAACTTCCCACTGTAAATGTCTTAGTACCTGATTTATTATATCTATTTGCATGGCTGAATTTTTAGAAGTGTATTATCAAGTTTGAACAGATGTCTTAATCCACCAGTCATAAATATAATTTGTTGTTCATTGTATCTTTTAATAAAGCTAATTAACAATTAGATCAGTGTCTATTTCACGAATGACTGTATGTATAATTAGTTCAAAGTTGATGTGAAGTAGTAATTCATTTTTTCTTACAGAATGATAAGGGAGATTTTGACTACAGATACCTCTTTGTCCAACTGGAAGATTATCCTAGAAATGTTATCATAATTGAAGATAATAGATATGACAAGCAAATGAATTTTGATAAGCCATTTGACATAGTATAGACTGATTTTTCTACAACTGCTGCCAATATTGTAAGTCATGGTTTTATAGAGGTACTGCATTTATTTGACTATAGGACAGCCTCCCTTAACAGTGGAAAGTTTTAATGAAAAATTAATTTATTACTTTCCAGATAAAAAACAAGATATTCTGTGACACAAACATATCTGGTTATTCATAATGGCCAGTTTTGGTTTATGCGATGCTTTTCTGGTAAAACTTGCACCTAGTAATTGTGATTCTTCCTTCTTCCATTGCTGAACATTTGTCTCAAAACTGTTATCTTCTGTATGTCACATAATTATTATTATGCTTAGATATAATCATCTAACATAAGCATAACTGCTTCTTCATAATGGCCAGTTTAGGTAACATACCTCAATCACTGATTTGCAGTTGGCATCAAATGTACTTCTTGAAGAGTCTCTTTTCCTTCCATGATTGTGTCATGCAGTTTATTAATTTTTACCTAATAGATGCAGTCACTGTAAATACTTAGAGAGAGAACTCCTTAAAACAAATAACATAAATGATCTATAAATGTTCAGTAATGGCACTGATGCCATATATTATACCTACCTTAAGTCACCTCTTAACTACCAACACAAAGGATCAGTGTGTAGCCAAACAATAAGTAAAATTTGGCAACCATTGTATACCTTGAAAATAGCATAAAGTATTGACATAAAAATATTTTCCAAGTTATGCTTGAACCATTTGTTCCCGTTGCCTGAGGAAGAGTAAAGACATGTACAATTTCATGCCCACTGGATGTTACATTATGGAAAGTAGAGCCACAGGTCCAGAATTATGGAACTGGACAAATTGGAAGTGAGTATACTGTTAATAACAACAAAAATGCAGCAACTGTTACCCTTGAAATATGTTAATATCATTATTATACTTATAAACATGTACATTTCAAGATATTGTATATCACAGTTTCTGTAGGTCAGTTTTTTCCAGAAATCATTGCAACATATCTATTTTGTATGCATTTTTATTCGTTCACAAGTACAAGACGCACTTACTTTTAAATGAAAATTAAAGCAAGAAAGCCCTCGTCTTATAGTCTGATAAGTACGTATGATGTATAAGAAGCATTGTGTTGTGAACTATAAAGAAGTAGTTGGAGAATTTACTTTATGATTTCATCTTACAAAGCATACTGATCACAACATAATGATTCAGAAGTAATTTATTTGCACAACATATTAATAAATTAAGACTGACTTACAAAAGTGCCATGTACAATCATAGTTTTATATGAAATATGTGTTTTAATAGACATAATGACAATATTTTTAGATCATGTGTGCAAAATACTGATTTAGTGGGTAGTTATATCATTATAAACTTAACAGAATGTTTGTTAATTCCAATGTGACCTGGAGGAGAAATATGTGCTCTTCTCTGTATTTCATCATACCATATTTTGATCAATTTTGTATAAATGTCTGTACTAAAAACTGAAGCAAATTTCAGTTTGCTAAGCTGGTCATAATTGATAATTATGTCTCTGGTATCAAAACCTGAAGGTTCAATACTAATAACACCAAGTCATACCAGTTCTGGGCCATTTCCATTTACTTCCCCATCCTGTTTCTCAGTATAACAAGCAGTAGCTTTATAGGTTTTCCCACAAAATTTCTACACGCTGTTCTCATCTCCCCATCCAAGCTCTATGTCTGACCCCTCACAACCTTGACTTCACTACCTTACCAATATTAAGGTCTCACCTGAGGCTTCATAATAAAACTATAAGAATGAGTATAAAGTTTGAGGCTCACCAATTTGTAACTTGACAAATCCTATTACTTTTCTTAGGTCCAAATTTTCTCCTCAGCATCTTATTCTCAAACATATTCAATATATGTTCTTCCCTCATTAAAAAATCACACTGTGTAAAAAGTATTTAAATGACATGGTCAAAGATGATACGAATTTAAATAGTATAGCGAATTATTTTATTTTAACAAATGGTCTGTGATCAGTTCTTATCAAAATATATTAAAAAGTTTTGTCTAGAAGTCAATAATCTTTCTTCCATGGTGTATTCTTCATACTTGTTACAAGTTGATTCTGAAACACAAAGGACTTCACTGTTCTGAACACCCATACAGAAATGGCTAGTATTGATAAATACTGCATCCAAGCCCACTTCATAATTTGCCAAAAGCCTGGTTTGTATGATATTGTTTCTTCGGGATAGTGAATGATAACAGATATGAAGAAAGGTTCATCAGCTGGACGCCCTACCATCCACAACGGGTACACATTCGTCAGAATTGTGGAAACTGGAAAAGAAATTTCAATAGTATTTAATGCAAGTGAAGTTTAAATTGGTCCCTTTAATATTAAAGATTTCTCACCAACTATATGGCACTTGGAGTAAGATTTGCATTTTTTAACATTCAGGAAATAATAAATTTTTTCTATGAAATTTCTAGTTACGGTTACTGTTTTCAACATACTACTCAAAATCTGTATGAATTTTAAATCACTTACACGATTCCCAAAATTTAGCCACCATGATTATTAAATTGGCTACATAGGTAAATGTCAGAAGTTCTTTCCAGAATATCTTATTTTTAATAACAACTGTTTTTTATACATTACTTTTATGTAATTTTTTCAGCTACAATATTGTGCATTTTGCCTCTTAGAAAAATGTCAGTTATTTATCTGTTACGGCTTTATTCATGACTTTTGAAGTGTACTACCAATTTGTACTTACCATTTCTCTTTGCATAATCCTTCAGCAACGAATGGAGACTAAATGATCCAGGAAGAATACCTTCTATGTTTATCACTGATTTATTAAACCGCACATCTCTTCCACGATTAGGAAGGAGCTGCTTCTGTGTCAGCCTCAGGTCTGCCACCACATCAAAACGTGCACCAGGGAGGCTGGAACTGTGCTGAATCACACCTAGTGATTCCATTTGAAATGAACTCATTTTCTAAGAAAAGGAAAACTTGACAATAAAATATAGCAATATGAACTAAATAGCATTCTACTAAAAACTGTCTCAGGGGACATGAATATTTTTGCATTTAACACAGGTAATTATTTATAGATAAAATAATATTACAAGTTATACAACCTTTGCATTAATGCATTCATGATCAAAATCACAAGCCAGACTTTCATGTTGCATATGTACCCTGTACTAAGTATGAAGAACATTTTAAAACTGAAAATATACAGTGTAAATTTCTATCTTCTTCTCATGCATGAACTGGAGGGCATTCAGTGGTTCTGGGGTTTGTATTAAGAGTTTTTAATACTTTAATTGAACATGCTTTAATAAGGAAATTAAATGTTTTTAAGTATGTGTAAGTTCATAAGACAAGAATGAACAGTTTCTCTGACCACCAGAGTGTACCAAAAATAAGAATTTAAAGAGAATACAATATTTTTACAATTATACTTTTTCAAAAAATATAATTAGTTAAAAAGAATCTACTGATTCTTACAAATCTACATCTATAAACCCCAAAAACATTAACCACCTATACAGACAAAACTATCAACTGACTCAATAAATGATTGGCACAAATCATACTTAGGAAACAAAAGCAAAATACAATTCTCTCCAATATACAATCTATATTAAATAATTAATGCTCAGCAACAGAGTGAAAAAATTTTCTTACGTAAAGTCTGTAATCAAAGAGA